AGCACCCTGGGGTCCCTTGTCCTCATTGAGCCATTGCATGCCAGAGGCAGTGGGGACAGGGATCACTGTGTCGGGATGTGCCGCTCCGAGCGCTGCCTGGTGCCCACAGCTGCTCGGTGGCCCCGTGATTAGGGCCAGGCCTGAGCTCTGGGCTCCCCTGGCGCGCACAAGGTCAGTGCTGCAGGGTGTGGGAACGGCCGGCCAGGAAGCTCCTGGGCGTGTGTCTTTCCTGCAGGAGCCTCCCCGAACTGAGTCATCCTGCAAGATGTCGCGCCGTCCGCACGGGCTGCACGGTCCAGGGTCCTGGGCGTCCTGCGCGTGCACCTTGGTTCTCCCTGCGTATCCCGGCCTGGCCTTACCCGTCAGGAATCCTCTAGGCAGGGAATCTGTTTCCCGTTTGGAAGACCAGCACCTGCTTCACTTTTAGGCTTTGCTTTGACCTCTGCCAAAAGTAGTAAGCTGCAAGATGACAGCCTTGTGCCCATCTTTGGGTGCACGTGCTTGCAAGGAGGGTAAAACTTGGGCAGTTCTTGCACCCCAGGAGAGAGCAAACTGGCTTCAGCTATAATTTAGAGGGGCTTGAATGTAAAACAGAGCGTTTTACTGACGATCTGGGGAGCTACTTTACAGCTACTTTATCTCCAGGGCAAGCAACTTTGGTTGCTGATGAAGTGAAGAATCTCTCCAGGTGTCCTTTGGATAGAAACAGACCTTTCTGTTAAGCAGGGTGTCTTATTAGAGAGAAGGGGAAGAAAAAGAAAAAAAGGCCGCTTGGACATTTGTAGGTAAAGACAGTGCAAACAGCCTTAACTCTGACCTGGGATTTCTCTATCCGAACCATGAACTCTCTCTTGGATAGCTGCCATCTGTCTTGTTCCCTGGTGTACAGGGCAAAAAATCATTTTACCGGCGCATCAGCAGCGGCAGCTTTCTGCAGCCTCTGATTTTTACCAAGCTCGGTGCGTGCTGTGGCTGTGTTTCTGTGTGCACAACCTGCCCGTGTCCCTGCTCTCTCGTACCTCGCTTGGGAGGATCAGCCTTGGCAGGAGCCTGCGTCAGCTCCTGCTTCCTGCCCCTGCTCTCCCGTGGCTCACCATCCGAGGGGAGCACTGAAATCCTGCCTGGGTGATAGGTACAAGCCCAATTTGGGAGTGTGCAGCACTGACTGTGTATGGCGAATTTTGAGCGTCTGCCTTTGTCAAGGGGCTTGGGCTTTGTGCAATGCGTATTTAACGCTTCTCTTTCATGCCTTAATTTTGTCTTTTTTTTTTTCCTCCTTTCTCTCCTTACAGAGAGCATAAATAATAGAGGAAGACAAGCCTTAGCACTGCATTAGGGACCTGAGTGTGCATTGACGTGCTAGATAAATGCAGGAAAAATCCTCGGGTGCCTGAGAAGAATGTGCTGAAGGTGTCCAGGAGCCATGGAGACCTGACTGCTCTGTGCAGAGAGCTGTCCTGGGACCTTGGCTGTGCGCTTCAGGCACAGCCTTTTCACCCGAACGATTTTGAATATAGCAAATAAACCTGCAGTGTGTTTGAGAGGAAGCCAGCGTGAGTTTAGCAGAGCAGCCTGGCTCTGGGGGAGCTGTGTGGAGAGTGGGGCTGCCGACTGAATTCTGCCACAAAAGATGCTCAAGTCGTCTGTGTGCTGGCAGCAGGACTGAATGTAGCCGTTAGCTGCAGCTTTCCTACCTCTGATGCTGCAGGAGAGAATGGGAAATGCCATCCTATCTCCTAGCCAGAGCATTTGAATGGCATACAGGGATTGCCCGGGCAGTGAGCGGCTCCTTCTACCGTGCGGTAGGCAAGCAAAGCATCCGAGTCTTTGGCCTTTGACTGGACCGGGACGGAGCGCGACGCCCCTGGGAGCTGTCACGGTGCTGGGGGTCACTGCGGTGACAGCTCCGGCTCTGCCGCCCCGCTCTGCGCCCTGTGCCCTCCCGAGCGACCGCGGGCAGAGCGGCTGCAGCGCGGAGCCCGCGCGGCTCCGCAGGCCTGGCGCTCCCATTAGGAAATGTCAGATCCGCAGTTGCCCGGGCAACCTTAATTCGGGCCCCCGCGTGCAAATGCATTAGGACACAATTGGTAATTGCGCGATCCCTGCTGTTTGTCCTCCCGGAGCCCTGCTGTGTTGCCTGCGCTGGCGAGGAGATCCATCCGCGCTGCTCGGGCTACAGCTCCCGCTCGCTTCCTTCCCCATCCCGGAGCTGTTGGAAGAGTAAAGTCAGCATAGTGTGACCCCTCTGAACCCAGAGGAGTGGGCACTCGGGTGCCTCATTGGAGACGTTTGCTCTGGGTCTGAGCTAATCCGGGTAAACTGCATCTCACTTGCATAGAGACCATCTAGCTTCTGCAGCCCCTGGAAGCAAAACCAGTGGGGTTTAGGTCACCTAACAGGTTCACAGCAGGGACCTGTTGGGGTTTCTCGGCTTCATTCTGCTTCCTAGATGGGCTGTCGGAAGCACCTGAGTGGGTGCCACAATCTGCAGCCTCACTGGGGCTTGTGTAGCCCTCCCTTCCAAAACCGGACCTAGGAAGCACTGGGGAAAAAAGTTAATTTCAGTGTTTTTGCTGGCATTTGCAAAGAAGTCAATGAACTGGGGCTAAGGAGCAGATCCAGCAGCTCCCTTCTGCAGTTAGCTGGGTTTTAGCCTGCTGCTTTGGGGAGACAGGGTGATTCCCAGCTTTTGCAGGACTGCCAAGGCCAGGGAGGGGGGACTTTACGCTATTTAGAAAAAGGAAATGCCACGTGTGTAGTCTCATGGCTACAAAGCACTAGTGCCCTGTCTTGCCTGGAGTTGTTTTGTGTTTTTGGGGTGGGAGAAGGCAGGTGGAGGCCGGGTGCCAGCAGCCAGCCGGGTGTGAGTGTACCTAGCAAAGTGCATCTAGGAAATGGGCTTTGTGGTGGGTTTTAACACGGGCAGGTTTGGCTCCGGGTAGGAGGAATGAGCAGGCAGCCCCTTCCTGACCCCGGGAGGTTCATCCTGCTGCGTATCGCAGCCCTGCAGCAAACTGTGGAGCACTTTGCAAGGAGCGTTTCTGAAGAAAAGTTTTGGGCGGACTCTCCTCGTGCTCCAGCGGTGGGGAGCAGAGTGCTGCAGTCCCCAGGGTTTAGGATCGCCCTCGGGCTGCTGGGAGAGCCGCCGGGCCGGGCCGGGCAGCGCCGGCCGCATCTCCCACCGATGA